TCAACATTATTGTAATATAATGAAATAAATATATCTTTCTTTGGTTCATTCATTTGAACTTCATTTTATTCCACATATATTTGTCTACTCTAAATAAAATTCTTTTTACCTTTTTTAATACTTCCAGTTCCTAGGAGAATTAAATAATGGAATTGTTTCCTCAAGAAAGTTTGAGATTTTCCAGTACACATTTGATTAAATCTAATCTATTTTAAAAAAAAGGAAGATTTTTCTTCCTTCTTGACCATACCGTGCTTCCTCGGTGACCATACCACTCTAATCATATCTTTTCAAGTTTGCCTCAATGAATCATTCAACTGTCATGTATCATATCCAGCTGCATAAGGTATTTTGCTATATGGTACACTGGGTATCAGACATGCAGAAAGGATTGTATCTGGAAATTACATCTGATTGAATAGGCCATGGCTGCAGAGTTTTTCAGGACTTTTCTGACAAAATGCTTGGATTTCATATTTTACATTAGAAATGACTGGTACTAAGTCATCAAAACTTTTTGGCATCGGTATACCATTTTCAGCAGAGTTCTCACTAGGAAGTTCTAGGCCAACTCTAGTCATACCTGAACACTTCCATATACACACACTTGCTGACCGTAGATTAGATATAACAGCATTCTGCAATTCATATCTCCAGTTTGCATGATTTGTTCTTGGCATGACATTCATTAGCCCTAATTTAGTCATCAAAGAGTTAGACATTCAGATATTGGTTAATCATCCTGGGTTGTCATTATAGGCTGGATGCTAAGAAAAAGCTTCTTCATGAATGACGATTAGAGTAGGTTATCCAGGGAAGCTGCACAGTTTCCACCACAGCTGTTCTCAAGACTCAGCTGGATAAAGCCTTGAACATCTTGATCTGATGGCACAGCTCACCCTGCTTTGAGCAGGAGGTTGAACTGGAGACCTACCAAGGTGCCTTCCAACCTGAATTATTCTACGGTCCTATGATCCTATAGTGAATGGAGAGAGAAAACAATCTCTGAAAAATATATCTTCTCATCCTAAAGCAGGATCAAAATAGAAAACATGAATCATGTCCAAAGGTACCAAATTATATTCATTGCCTAGAAAAAGAGCCTATAGGGACAAATTCAGAATTTCACATTTACTTTTTAGACATCAAAAAGTACGTGCCATATACCTCTTGGTAGTTCTAAGCACTTCCTTAGTGAAACAGAAAGCATTAATGAAGTGGTTATTTCTATTTCTCTCTTTCGCTAAACCTTTTTAAAGACTTTTGTTTCATCTTCATCATTAAAAAAATAAACAAACTGATCAGTTAAAAATAATGTGAAATGAGAAAATAATTTTCTGTCAATTTTTTTTAATAGCTTTTAGCTATGGTAAATCATGTGTTCCACGCTGATATATCATGTCAGGATAATTCTGCAACTACTTTCTCAAGGGAAATTTTTTTAAGGAAAGACTAGAAATCTCTACTTACTTAAATAATTTATTTCAGGGGAATTATTTACATAAATGCATTGGAAAAAATAAAGACTACTTAATCTCTTTCAAAACTTCAATTTTTGGGTGTCTGAAGTCACTGAAGCTCTTTTTTCTTCCAGTGATCAGCGTTTTGCTATTCAGGTAACCAAAGCTTATTGCTACTTTTAATTCTAGGTTCAGCTAATATAACATATTAGACGGCACAGCAGTCATTAATTAAAACTAGTTTGATCTAATCACAGTGAGTGTGAACAAAACTGCATTGCACAAGTTGTGATGGCAAATCTATGTGTTCTTCATAGAACAACAGAATAAACCTAATAAAAAAATCCTCTTGTTTCTTTTAGACAATAAAGGCTCAGCTATGCTCCCACTCCTCCATTCTTTTATAGAAACAAATCTAAAAATTAAATATTTATGAAGCTCCAATATTTTAGGAGAGAAGGAGTATTAATTTATTTCTTGATAATTTTATTTAATAAACATTTGTTATTATTCTGTTCTCTGTGTAAGATGACTTCAAATTATTTAGTGAAAGCTTAATTCAGAACTCTTTTAATGTCAATTGATATGCTCTTCTTTAACTCAGTGAACTTTATTTGGGTCAGGTTTCTGTTTCTTATATTTTAATATGCACAGAATTACAAGTTTAAAATAACTATTGTGCTAAATTAAGCCATTTTGGCTTAAAACACTAAAAAAAAAAAAAAAGAATTACAAAATTGTTGAGGTTGGAAGGAACCTCTGGAGATCACCTTGTCTGACCCTCCTGATCAAGCAGGGTCACATACAGCAGGTTGCCCAGGACCATATCCAGTAGGGTTTTGGATATCTTCAAGGAATGAGACTCCACAACTTCTCTGGGCAACCTGTTCCAGTGCTCAGTCACTCTCACAGTAAAGATGTTTTTCCTTAACTTTTAGATGGAATTTCCTGTGCTGCAGTTTGTGCCCATTGCCTCTTGCCCTTTCACTGCATGCCCCTGAGAAGAGTCTGCTTCTGTCATCTTTACACCCTCACTTTAAGTATTTATACCCATTTGTATTTATACCCCCGAGCCTTCTCTTCTCCAGTCTAAATAGTCCCATCTCCCTCAAGCTCTCCTTGTATGTCAGATGCTCCAATACATTTGCTTATTTCACAGCAAACATGTTGCATACCTACTTTAAAAATAAACCAGCTAAAATAATGCTTCTTAATACATTGTCATAGGCAAAATTCACACATCATCTTTTCCAGCGTTTCTTTTTAACAAATCTTACATTTTATACTCCATACCATTTACCTGAATGGCATTTCTCACAAATAGATGATATCGTTAAAAAGGATTTTTTTTTTCCCCTACAGTGAAGAAATAAAATGTTGATAAACTCAGAAATTGGCCATCATTTTTTTCATTTGTCGCTGGACAGTTGAATTATGTAAAATAATGAATCAAAATGGTGAAAAGTTCCAAACTATGGGGGCAATATAACAATCATCAGTACCACGTAGCAGTAAATTACAAAAGCTACTGAAGTAATATGTCTGATAAGAATAAAGACAATGCACAAGTTTGCATTTTGTATATAAAAATAGTGTCAATTAAATTGCAAAAGCATACTTTTAAAGTGCATAATAAAATATATCTAATGACATAATTGTTCATATTTAGTTTAAAAGTTTGTGCAGTATTTCTAAAGCTGATCTGGTGATTGAGCTGGAGTTTAATCACGGAAAATGTATTGTGATTGTAATTTCTCTGCTATACTTACCATCTTCTTTGTTTCAATTGCTCAGACATGTCTCCTCCCTTTTGATAAAGTAAGTATGTTGCATAAACAATGTATCTTCCTGTTTTCAGATAAACAATGAAGAATAGCTCCAGTGTAATCGCTACAAAATTATTGCTATTTACTAGACCTAAATACTAAATGGTGTTCCATAATTGCCCATATCTGCTTGTCTACTTCACAGAGTTATATCTGCTGCACTCTATCAAGCAACATTGGAAGACAGTCCTTGGCACCACAGATTGTCTCCCACGCAATCAATTTTCACTTTATTGAAACTGACCCTTCTCTAGCCATGACAACCTTCTTGTCAAGTCCAGATTTCCATGCTATTAACATCTATTTTACACCTTGATACTACCATGAGAAAACAGTTACCACTCATAGTGTTTCTGCTTCTCTGGGAGCTCTTAGGGTTGACACCTGCTTAGTTCTTTACATTTTTTCAGTGATTCTATGAATGCTCTGTCTGTTATTTTCTCCTCCTCCTTGTTAGTATTCCCTACACATCTTTTATTTTCTTCCTCTTCAGCACCATCATTTGACATCAATTTCATTTATATGTCTCTATGATTGATGTCAGCAACAATCTTCCTCCTCATTCAGCCTGCTTCTTTTCTGTACAGATTCATACTTTGCAGATTCTGTACATCTCCACATGAATGTTCTTCAGCTTCCCCAGGCTATGATGCTAAATAAGTTAAAATCTCATCAGGTAGCTACTTACCTACAGTCTGGGAATTCACCTTATCATTCATTCAGAGAAATCAATGTTAACTTTTTCTTCTCTTCTTTACCTTCTGTCCTTTGAAATATACACTCAGAAAATCTTAGTATTTTGTTTTCTACAGTGGTTAATTCCACCTTTTATTCTCTGTTCTCACCCATGAAAGCCTGAAACTTGTCTATAATCAGTAGTTCTTGTTTACTATTTTGTTTTATGATTCTTCTTTTCCATCAGTAAACTGTTCTGTTTAATCTATTCTCCTTAATAATAGTAAATACATGCTTTCAAAATGTCAGAGACCACACAGAGCATTTCAATACCCTTCTGTAAATACATGATTCAACAGAAGATTACACTTTCTGGTAGAAAGACTGAACATCTTTTCCTCATCTTCAGAATTCCATTCTCTTTCTTCTGTCCTCATGATTACCACTTTCTTGTTCTCTACCTTGTTGCAGTCTTATCTTTTCACAGAATCACAGAATCACAAAATTACAGAATTACAGAATGGTTGAGGTTGGAAGGGACCTTTGGATGTCATCTAGTACAACCGCCCCTGTTCAAGCAGGGTCCTCTAGAGCATATTTCCCAGGATCACATCCAAACAGGTTTTGAATATCTCCAGCGAAGGAGACTCCACAACTTCTCTGGGCAACCTGTTCCAGGGCTCCGTCACTCTCACAGTAAAGAAGTTTTTCCTTATGTTTAGATGGAATTTCCTGTGCTGCAGTTTGTGCCCGTTACCTCCTGTCCTGTCACTGGGCACCACGGAGAAGAGTCTGGCCTCATCCTCTCGACATCCTCCCTTCAGATGCTTATGCGCATTGATCAGGCCACCTCTCAGGTTCTCTTCTCCAGGCTCAGCTCCCTCAGCCTTTCTTCAGAGGAGAGATGCTCCAGTCCCTGAATCATCTTTGTAGCCCTCCGCTGGACTCTCTCCAGGAGTGCCATGTCTCTCGTGCACTGGGGAGCCCAGAACTGGACACAGTACTCCAGGTGAGGCCTCCCCAGGGCTGAGGAGAGGGGCAGGATCACCTCCCTCCACCTGCTGGCAACACTCTGCCTAATGCACCCCAGGAGACCATTGGCCTTCGTGGCCACAAGGGCACATGGTTGGCTCACGCCCAACTTGTGCACCAGGACTCCCAGGTCCTTCTCTGCAGAGCTGCTTTCCAGCAGAATAAAGCCCCAGCCTGTCCTGGTGCATGGGGTTCTTGCTACCCAATGCCGGACCCTGCACTTGCCTTTGTTGAACTTCATGGGGTTCCTCTCCGACCACCTATCCACCACGTCCCTCTGAAGGGCAGCACAGCCCTCTGGTGTGTCAGCCACTCCTCCTCGTTTTGGATCATCAGCAAACTTGCTGAAAATACACTCTGTGCCTTCATCCAGGTCATCGATGAGTACATTGAACGAGACTGGACCCAGGACTGACCCCTGGAGGACACCGCTAGCTACAGGCCTCCAACTTGACTCTGCGCCATTCACCACAACCCTCTGAGCTCGGCCATCCAGCCACTTCTCCATCCACCTCACTCTCCACTCATCCAACCCACACTTCCTGAGCTTACCTAGGAGGATGTGATGGGAGACAGTGTCCAAAGCCTTGCTGAAGTCCAGGCAGACAACATCCACTGCCCTCCCCTCACCTACCCAGGCAGTTGCCCCATCATAGAAGGCTATCAGATTGGTCAAACATGATTTCCCTATAGTGAATCCATACTGACTACTGATCACCTTTTCTTCCATGTGCTTAGTGATGGCTTCCAGGATGAGCTGTTCCATCAGCTTTCCAGGGATGGAGGTGAGGCTGACAGGCCTGTTGTTCCCTGGCTCCTCCTTCTTGCTCTTTTTGAAGACTGGGGTGATATTTGCTTGTTTCCAATCCTCAAGCACCTCTCCTGATTGCCGAAACCTTTCAAAGGTGATGGAGAGTAGCCTAGCAACGATGCCTGCCAGCTCCCTCAGCACTTGTGGGTGCATCCCATTGTAGTCCATGGACTTGTGGGTGTTAAGTTTACCTAAATGATCTCTAACCCGATCCTTCTTGACCAAGGGAAATTCCTGCTTTCTCTAGACTTTCTTCCTGGTCTCCAGGGTCCGGGATTCCTGAGGGCTGGCTTTTCTTCCACTCATCCTTTCAAGGGCTTTGCAGTCTGCCATGCTGACTTAAAATTTAGCTCAGTCGATCTGGGAAAAAATCACATTTCTGAAAATAAAACCTTTAGGGCTACCTGGCTTGTTACTACAAAAAGACTCCAGAAAACTCCCAGCAGACCCCAAATCATCTTATATTTCTACACATACGTGCATATATACATAGGTTTTGCATATATATCTTTTCTTTCCTTCCTTCTTTCTTTCTTTCTTAAATAAGAAACCAAAGCAGTTTCCAGAATTTATTTAAACATATTTTACAATTTGTTCATAAGGTACTCGAACTTTCAGATAACACTTTAAATAGCTGTCATTGAAATAAAAAGTTAACGGTTCTCTGAATTAGAAACTGTAGAGGAATCTAGTATGCATTCATATGACTAACACTGGCGTATAGTATTTTTTCTTTCATTATGCCAGTTTTATTATCTTTTGGTTTAGCTGTTGTCACTGCTGAATGGACTTCTAACAGAAACTTAAATCACTCAGAACCATTTCAAGATCAAATTTTATGTATGCAATGATCTATTCTATAATAAATACATCCTACTATGCTGTAAACAGAGCTATGCACATTTTTTCTGTGACAAAATCATTCCTTTGTTTTTCTTGCAGAATTTTCAGAAAGTCTTGAACACTTTATAAATGTCAAAGTTAAAAATAATAGATAGCTTCTTTAGAGATTTCTTTTTGCTGTATGCAAGGGAATATATGCTTTTTTTCACACTGTTGAAGCTACACTAATCTAAAGTACAAACACAAAATACTAGTGAAAAATAACATCGATTAAGTTATCCAAAATTAGTTCCAAAGGAGTTTAGAATAGGTTAGTTTATTGTAAAATATAACTTGAGGTAAAATTTAAAATAAATATGATAAAATAAAACAGTTATCACAGCCTCCATGACAAATGATAGTTTCTCTAGAATAGGCTTCAAAATATGCAAATTTAAGGTTCAGAGTATTTAAGTAACTAGTTATATCAAATATATTGTATTTAAGACAGATGACACAAAGACTGTTTTTTTTTTTTTTTCCTTCCTAATACTATTTATAGGTAAAATAGTGCTTTATTTTCTTAGGCTGAAGTTGTTCTGTGAAGAAAAATGCCAAGGAAAGGACTCTGTACTACTTCTACTTTAAGTGACTATTTCTTGGAACCTATGAATAATCCAATAAAAGTAGACCAATTACTAGCATACTTTGACTCTCTTGCTTCTGCTTCTTGTGCAGGATTTATTTTAAAGCAACCTATATATTCATTTGCTCCTGATTAGTGAACAAATTGGTAATCAGTAATTTTGGACAGCCTGCCCTTTTAGTTTTTTGAAATTATTTCAAAATTATTTTATCCTCATGCTTGAATAGCAAAGGATATAATCCAAACCCTCATCAGAATGTTCTCATGTTCCCTCCAAGTGCATTCTCATTCTCTATGCAACATATGAGTAATAGGTCCGTGCTATAATTTTCTCAGTAATCTATTCTACATAGTTTCTCATTCCACACCAGTCATCATTCTAATTGAACTTCACTTCCATTTGGCTTGTGAGAGCTTACTTCCTTTGTTCAATGTTAAGAAAATTCAAATATTAAACTACAATGTCTATTATCTTTACCTCTGAATATAAAAGAAGCTAGTATGCCAATAAAGTAGCAATATTTCTGCTATTATAGATGCTAAGGCATTCTAATGATAAGATATCTGAGTTTGTATATTTTGGAATTTTTCTATTTCTGAAAAATATGAATTTGTACTCTTGCAAAAGAAAATGATTACAAGCAACAGAAGATCATAAGCACTATTTAAATAAAAGGTAACTGCACAGTTGTGATTAAGTGCTCCAGTTTTAGGTCTAATTTTGCTAGCTATTTTCATAAATTGTCTACAAGGACTAAAGAGCTGGTTATGATATTCAAATATGAAGTTATGCTATGAGGAACATCAATAAAATCAGTGCAATATATATGCAGAATAATGTTCAGCATCCGTAACTGCATTTGATTCTGATCATCATATTATTAAGACAGAAATGGGATGGTAGAGAAGTGGGGAGAAAGTTTACTAGTAGCAAAAATTATTAAGAAATCTTTGGAAAAAAAGAGAAAAAGGGATCTATGTAGGTATTACTTGGCTCTGAGACTGAGAAATGAGCAGGACTGACTTTCGTTTTGGTTATGTAAAGATAAAACCAACAATATAAGTTTTTTTTTCTATACTGAAATAGGAAACATACAATACTACTGCAGTAGCGGACAGAGGCGTACGTTTTCAGTCACCTCCACATACGTTCATGTTCAGAGGGCAGTGTTCTGCTTGCAAAAGAAGCAGTGAAAATAAACAGTAAATTTTAGAAAACTAAGGCAGATAGTGCCCAATTTTTTTCAAACAGTATGATGACTAGAGTAATCACACAGGTTGTATGTGCTTCACATAAAATTCCACTGATATGAATTTCTGTGTATAAGCTGCTTATAGAAATATTTCTTTCATCTGATGATAAAATTCTCTGAAACAATCCTTTGAAATTCCTTGACTTGTGCAATCACAGTTTAATTTCATTCCTTCAGCAACACCTTATCTACATTACAATTTGTTTTTCTTTCTGCTTTTTAGTAGTGAAATATCAATTTTTTCCGTTTCCTTGCCTTTGCATTTTGCGATACATAATTGAGATGTATTATTAAAATGTTTTAAATGATCACTAAGCCATGTAGCACAGAAAAAACACAATATTTCTCTGTACTTTTCAAAAGTCTAATTCCTTTAATTTCATTTTCAAATAGGAATAGCTTTAAGGAGTGCTTCTATCTCTCTTTAGTTTCAGCTCTGCACTACTGTAGGCCCTATCTTTACATTTATTCTAGTGGAAGATGATAACAGGTTCTTTTCTTAAAAAAAAAAAAAAAAATTCTGCTATAGAGAAGATGAAAAAAATGTTGCAAAATCAAGACGTTTTGTTAGCACTTCTGTAGATTCATTCTTAAATGAACAGGAAGTATTTTTTATGTTCAGGTTTCTACAGTCCCAGCTGTCCCCAGTACAACAGGGCTCAGTAAAGCCTAAGGAAATACTCATAATGTACAGAATTTTTTTGCTTGACAGCTTTAGCTTGGGATTTTCACTGAGGTTCGTACGTATGAACACAGTATATTGAATATTTAAACTGCTTATTTTTAAGTTCCTTCAGAGAAGTATAACTAATAGATAAATACTAATTATTATTAATACAGTCAGATATCATTAAAAATAGTACCAAGGATTTATGGAGCCTTTCATCACACAAAATGAAAAAAGTAGAACATATATTTTCTCATTTGCTAATCTTCGGTGGGAATCAGCTCTAACTTTAGAGTTAAGACTAAAGGCAATTTTACATATCTAAAAGGTAAACCTCTGAATCTGAGCAAGCTGTTTAAAGATGCTTTTGTTGTAAAAAGGGAAATAGGTCCTTACAGATCGTAATTCATTTGATCCACCTAGTGTTGCTTGAGATGGGATAGAATGAATTTTCTTTTGAAGGTACTTATTTCTGTCCATTGGAACAATAAGAATTCTGAGTGACTATCTCAGACCTTGAGATCTAACTTTCAGGATCCTTATTTCTGGTGGATGGATCTTACTGTTCTCTAGAAGAAAAAATAGGCAAGCAGCAGAGATGCTAAGGTAATCACCTGACTGATTTGTGAAAATCAGTCAGGTGACTACCTAGAGATAAGGAGTTATTTCTGAGCTTCCATTTCTGCAAATCATGTCCCCAGTGTCAACTTTTTAGGCCAAAATTTAGGTCTAATACTTTCCTTTTGACACTTCACTCCTCCTTGTAGCATAGGCTACAGGATTTCCAAGCTACAGCCAACTGTGAAACAAACACCTCCCATTTCTTGATTAGGGTATCCTATCTATTTAATTTTTGAATAAGGAGAAGGATAAAGCACATTATCTGGCTTTATTTTCTATGTAGTCTAATTTGTTTAGACATAGACAAGCTGGTCAATTAAATCAAGTTCTTACAAAAATGCATGAAGAGAAACATCTAATGTATTGGCTCAGTAAGAGATAGCTCCTGAATTTAACAACAACTGCCTTTTTCAGAAAGCATTGTGACATTTTATCTGCTTTATCAGTTTTTTAAAAAATCACCACCAAGGTGGGATTCATACCAAGTTCAAAACATTTCAATTTAGAGGGTATTTGTGCAGATATAGAAATTAAAGTTCAGTTTCTACATGTGCCATACTTTTACTCTAAAATAGACCTATATGTGAGAACTCCCATTATAATTAATGGTGATCTAGTCATTAGCCATTTAGTGTCATTTTAGATACCATAGGATTCCTAAGATGTCTATACAGGGCTGGTAGATAGGATACAAGATTCAAAGGAAACCTTTGTCCTTCTGGACACCTAAATGTAGATTTCTAACTCTTGAAATGAACCCTACTCCAGTTCCTGAATCATTTGTTTAAAAAGTCATTTCTATCGTGCCTAGCCTTCCTGCTACTATCGCCTTTCCAAAGAAGATACTCTGCTATTCTCTATTCATAAGATGGGACCTTCAGTTCCTCCTTTACTCCCACCTGTGTGTTCCTACCTCATATTGCTGTGAATCTTAGTTTAGGATTCACAAGACATTTGAAATAGAAGTCTGATCCTGGCTTTTAAATGTGCAGTTATCTAGCAGGGAAGGGGCCACGCACGATAAAGAATGTTGGGCAGTTACAGAACTCAAGGTAGATATCCAGAAAATTAGAATAAAAGAGGAGGAATGTCTTTCATCCCTGTCTTGTTCCTGTATCAAACGGCATTTTTCCTATACTAGTTCACTCTAATCCGGAATCTGCTGTTATGTGCATACTGGGGAGTATCTTTCCTGGGTTCCCACCTC